CCCAGTTGCTGCTCTTAACTGTGAGGTTCTCCTGCCTCCCATAGTTTATTAGTATCCCCATTTTCCCGGTAGAGAAACTGAGGCCACAGAAATGAAGCCTTTTGCTCAGGCCCAGCCGCTGCGATGCGACAGAGGCTCAGAGCCCTGCTGCTGGGTGATGACGGCAGCTTGCCCAGCTGGTGGTGCAGGTTGGAAGTTCTATTGAGCCCCAGGGGCCCTGGCTGGAGGAGGTGTGCAGCCTTGCCTTCAGAGCCTGTTTTCCTTAACCAAGTGCCTCCCACTGCCCCTTGCCCGGGGGTCTCCGGAACCATCCTCAGCTACATTGTGCAGGACCTAATGGAGACTGACCTGTACAAGTTGCTTAAAAGCCAGCAGCTGAGCAATGACCACATCTGCTACTTCCTCTACCAGATCCTGCGGGGCCTCAAGTATATCCACTCCGCCAATGTCCTCCACCGGGATCTAAAGCCCTCCAACCTGCTCATCAACACCACCTGCGACCTTAAGGTCAGAGGGTTGGGCACCTGTCTCCTCCTCCCCCAGGGTCTGGGGCTTCCAGGTGACCAATGGAAGCCATGGGCAGGAGAACATTGCAAGCCAGGGGAACAGCAGAAGCAAAGACAAAGGGGAGTGACTGCTTGGGCTGCGGAGGCCTTGAGCACCGAGCTTAGCAGCTGGGTCTGATTCCAGATCTGCGATTTCGGCCTGGCCCGGATTGCTGATCCTGAGCACGACCACACTGGCTTCCTGACGGAGTATGTGGCTACACGCTGGTACCGGGCCCCAGAGATCATGCTGAACTCCAAGGTAGGAGGGGCTGCCCACTCCTGAAGGGAAGGGGCCAGGTCCCAGGAAGCTCTGGAGCTACCTCTGAGCCAGGCACTGACCCCCATTCCACCCTCTGGGCCTTGGGCTTTGCAAGGAAGCTGAGAGTGGAGCCCTCCAGGCCTCTGCCTTCTGCATGGTGTTGGATTGAGCTTGGGGTGGTGACCTGGCGCAGACAGCAGGACCCTCTTGAGGCTGTCCTGGGAGCCCATCACTTCCTCCTTTCTCCCAGGGCTATACCAAGTCCATCGACATCTGGTCTGTGGGCTGCATTCTGGCTGAGATGCTCTCCAACCGGCCCATCTTCCCTGGCAAGCACTACCTGGATCAGCTTAACCACATTCTGGGTGAGGGAGTCCTGGCTGACTGAGTGGGGGATAATTAGCTTTTCCTAGGTGACATTTCTTGAGAGTCCAAGTCAGGGATATCATCACCACGTACAGGGTGCCTCCAGCATCCCCTAGTACCTCAACGAGGTATAGATATTATCCCCACTGGATAAATGGGAAAAGCAAGGCTAAGTCCTACACCTAAGGAGACACCAGACCTACAATTTGAGCCTTGGTCTGCCTGAACCCAGCCCCTTGCTCTGCACCTCCATGCTAATGACCAGGAGGTGACTAAGAGATTGGCATGGGTTGCTGGGCTTGGGGGTCTTGTTCTTGCCCTCTTGCCTGTTCTGTTCCCAGAAAGGAGGAGGTGATCATTTACCAAGTCACCTCCTTATCCACAGGCATCCTGGGCTCCCCATCCCAGGAGGACCTGAATTGTATCATCAACATGAAGGCCCGAAACTACCTACAGTCTCTGCCCTCCAAGACCAAGGTGGCCTGGGCCAAGCTTTTCCCTAAATCGGACTCCAAAGGTATGAGAGACGTGGGGGCGGGTGTGGGATAAACCCTGGGAGCCGTGGAGGGTGCGTGAGCCCAGCAGCCACCAGACGAGACAGGCCCTGGGCATGGAGAAGCAAAGCGATGCTTCTGGGAGCTCCTCCAGCCTTCCGTGTGACCCCTGACTCCTGCCCTTCCATAGCCCTTGACCTGCTGGACCGGATGTTAACCTTTAACCCCAACAAACGGATCACAGTGGAGGAAGCGCTGGCCCACCCCTACCTGGAGCAGTACTATGACCCAACAGATGAGGTGGGCCAGCGCCTAGCAGCAGCGGGGCTGGGGGCAAGGGAGCAAGTGGGCATTCCCCACGCCAGGCCTGAGCCTTGCCGTCTCTGCCACCCCAGCCAGTGGCCGAGGAGCCCTTCACCTTCGACATGGAGCTGGACGACCTACCCAAGGAGCGGCTGAAGGAGCTCATCTTCCAGGAGACAGCACGCTTCCAGCCTGGGGCGCTGGAGGCCCCCTAACCTAGACAGACATCCTGTGCCCTGGGGCCTGGTGAGTGTCCCCATGGCCCGAACACAGACACACTGATACTAAATATAGATCTCTATCTCTATATCCACACCTACAGCTATCTCTGTCTCTATCTCTATCTCTGTCTCTATCTATCTCTATCTATCTCTAAAGCTGCAAGCTTACCCCGTACCCATGGTCCATGTGTCTGGTGACATCAGAGGTGCCCAGGGAGCTGGGCATGGTGGCTCATGCCTGGAATCCCAGCACTTTGGGAGACAGACTAAGACGAGTAGATCACCTGAGGTCAGAAGTTCAAGACCAGCCTGGCCAACATGGTGGAACTACTAAAAATACAAAAAAATGCAAAAATTACACACCAAAAAAATACAAAAACTACTCAAAATACAAAAATTAGCTGGGTGCGGTGGCTAACTCCTGTAATCCAGTACTTTGGGAGGCTGAGGCGGGTGGGTCACCTGAGGTCAGGAGTTCGAGACCAGCTTGGCCAACATGGTGAAACCCTGTCTCTACTAAAAATACAAAAATTAGCCAGGTGTGGTTGTGCACACCTGTAAGACCCAGCTACTCAGGACGCTATGGTGGGAGGATTTCTTGAACCTGGAAGGCAGAGGTTGCACCACTGCACTCCAGCCTGGGCAACAGTGAGACTCTGTCTCAATAAAAGAAAAAAATGCCCAGGGACTACCCAGACTCGTGGCCCACCTAGTCCTCCAACCCCAGATGTCTCCACCTGTCAACACCCTGCATCCTCCAGCCCCAGGAGCCATTCTAATCTCCTTCTGGGAAGAGAACTAGCAAAGAGGCAAGAGGTTACTGAGGGCCCCTGTCACCCAGGTAAGGCCCTGAGCCAGGCCTCAGCTCTGGGTGTGGCAGAAGCAGGTGGAGCCATGATTGCTTTGGGAGGGGCCCAGCATCACCCAGCCTGACCCAGATGGCCAGGCCTCCTCACACCTGCTGCCAGGTCAGCAGTTCACATAGCCTGTGGGACCCCACTGGGCCTGCCCCCACCCACACTGCCTCCTCCGGTCTCTTCCTGTCTCTGGCCAGGTATGGCCTGATAGGAAGAAGGCAGCACACCTGGGCTCAAACTCCAGGTGTGCCACTTAGTAAGTGCTGTGTGATAGTTGGTAAGGCACCTCGCCTCTCCATGCCTCAGTTTCCTGGAAACAGTTTTATCTTTTTTTGTTTGTTTTTGTTTTTTTTTTTTGAGACAGTATCTCACTCT